CGAGGAAGGAGACGAGCTGGGGGAGGAGGCACCATGGCGGGTTGCACCAGTTGGTATCCCCTGTCCAATCCTGGAGGAAAGCGTCTGTCCCCGCGCTCCCCACGTCCGCGTGCAGGCTGTTGTACCATGGGCAGAGGGAATTCGCCGCGGAAGCAAAGCGGTCGCACGTCCGGCGACCGAATCGCTGAGTCAGCCGGCGGAAAATGGCCGGGTGCAGCTGGTAGTCGTCCACCACCCGCACCCAGAACAGCCTGTCTGGTATGACGTTGTCCGCCGACCGAATGTAGTTCGGGTCGAGTAGGAGGTGGCGTGCCATACAGACTCGGTGCAGCTGTTGCAGGGGGGTGAGGAGCTGCTTGGAATGGGTAGTCATGCTGCGCAGGCAGTACATGACCACCTGGTTGTCGACCAGCAGCTTGAGCCTTGAAGGAAGGCCATGGGAAGCAGCCGGAAAAAAGCTGAGAATGGCTCGCTCCACCGCCTGCATCTCACGCACATTGATGTGCGTTAAGGAACGGTCCCAAAACCCCCTTGCGAGGAGGGGGCGGGACCTCCCCGGAGGAGCGAAGGTGGCCCCCCAACCAGTCAGACTGGCGTCCGTTGCCAGGGTGCCGGCGAAGGGGATCGCGTCGGGGTTTAGTGGACGGCCTTCGCAGCGGCGGATGTTGAACCACGCCTCCAAGTCCAGCCGGGCTTGGGGGGAGAGGATCAGGTGATCCCGCCAGCTCCGCTTGGAACGCAGCACCGCATAGAGACTTTGCGAGAAAAAACGGGCCAAAGGAAACCCCAAATAAAGGGAAATGGCAAGGCCGCAGAAACGGGCCAAATCCCTGGCCACAACCCGGCGGGCGGATCGCAAAATGCGGGCTTGATTGGCGATCAACGCGGCCTTCTCCGGGGGAACCTCAAAACGGCCATGGGCCATGTCCACAATCACCCCAAAATGCTTCTTGCGCATAACGGGGGTCCATTGACATTTCCGCTCCTTGAATTGGATGCCCAGTGAGGCAAACACACCCCGAACCAACTTGGACCACCGTGTCAAACGAGCGGCATCATGCATGGCCGCCAAAAAATCATCAAGATACGCCAACAGAATGGCTGGCGGTTCACTAGTGTACACGCGAAAGTATGTAGCTATTGAGTCATCCCCCGCTAAGCACCCAAAGCGGAAATGGCGAGCTGCCTTAGGGCAACTGCTTGGGGACCTTAAGAAACGCCCCACAACAAGCATGAAGTGGGTGAAAAAGAAGGGGCCAAAGAGAGGCCAAAAGGGAGAGCTCTACAAGCGAAAACTTCGTCTCCCATTCGAAATTGGAGGAAACATTCCTCCGATCGACACACACGGAGATGATGATAAGCATCTTTGATGTCAAATCCCACCAATGAGTCACCCCGGCAAAATAAGTGACCGAAGTCATGTAATTTCTCGTAACGAAGGCCCACCTTGCGAAGGTGACGGTTGACCCGTCGCAGATCGATACAAAGATGGTACTTCATGACGCCATCCTCCCGCCCTTTCTCCACCAGGAAGGCCCGAGAGATGCACAACGTGGGGCCCGGCTCCACCTTGGTGATCGCGCCCGAAGAGAGATAGTCCGCGCGGAGAGATTGCCAGGCCGTCCATTCCTCCGGGGAGCGGAGCGGGTAGGAGCCCTCGTCGAAAGGCGCCGGCAGTCCACGCGGGCCCCACATGAGCGGAGTCCCTGAATGGATCCATTCGAGGATGCGGGAGGGGGCGCCGATGTGACGCCACGCCGGAAGGCGTCCGCGGACTCGATTGTATGGGAAGTCCTTCACTGAGCCGGCTTGGGGGAGGGGCCCGGAGGGCGAGATCCCTTGTGGGCCTTGGGGCCGGTCGAGGGGGCCGAGGTCGACGGGGGGGAGGTAGACTTCTTGGCAGCCGCGGTCTTGGTGGCTTGCTTTAATTCTTGCGTCAAAAGCTCTTTGCACATGCGCTCGATGGTCCCGTCGACGCGAGCAGTGCCGAAGCGCAGTCCGCGGTCGGCGAGGCGGATCTCCGCCTGAATAGCCCGCCACGATCCCTCCAGGCTAGAGGTGGCCACTCAAAGATGCCATCCGGTCCGTTAAGTCCGGTTCGTTAATTTTCATCAGCTGTCCGTTAAATTCCGTTAAAGAAAAAGGGAGAAAAATTCAGAAAAAACGAAAAAAATCAAAAAAAAAAAAAAACCCAAAATCACAACAACTGCGGCTAGTTGAAAATCTAGTATGCATAGGTTAAAATAAAATACAAACATACTATCTAATAGCGAATTCCATAAACTATAAGTATGAATAAAACCCAAAAATCCCAAAAACAATCCAAAAATCCGTTAATTTTTGGTTAATTTTTGTCTTTTTTCGTTATTTTCTGTTAATTAACGGAAAATTAACGGAAATTAACCTCTGTCCGCTATTAACGGATCCGGGTGGCCACCTCTACTCTAGGCCCGATCCCTTGTGCTTGGCGTGGATGCGCTGCAAGGAGAGCTGGTCGTGGAGAGCCTCGGTGACCTCCACGTACGAGCAAAGGTAGGGGAGGAGGAATTCCCGTACGGACGCCGGTAGATCTGGATGGGCGGCCACCTCCACAAAGGCCGCGGTCGTGTCGAACAGCCAGGAGACCAGAGGCGCCCAGCCCGCGTACTCCTGGAAGTACCCGGAGTGGGCGCCCAAAGAGGTGGCGACCGCGCTCCCCTCGGCGGTGTCGCGGACGTTGAACCAGTACGGCGAACGGGCGCCCACCGGTCGGGATACCGGGTTGTTGACGGACTGGGGGAGGAGCGCCGGGTCGGGCAACCAGCAGGCTTCGATAGCGGAGGTCGGAATATGGTTGTTGAACCGGCGAGCTTGGTCCCGGCACCACTGCTCCGCAGGGGACGGGTTCATAGGCAAGAACTCGGCAAAGAGCCGGAGGTCGAGACCCACTTGGTGGGTCCGGGTTGTGCCAAAGGGTTGGCGCGAAGCGAAACAAGATAAGGTGGGGACCGAGGGGTGAGCCTAAGTAGCCTCCCTGCTCGCGCCCGCCAAAACCCGCCGCTCCCAAGGGCGCCAAAAACCACTGGCCCTCCTTGAACGCGACGAGCCAGCCACTAACCCAAGGTACAGAGGGACAGAAACCCCAAGGGGCCGCCAAAACCATCGTACTTTAAGCAGTGCTGGCCCAAGTGGGCCAGCGCGCCCGCCCCTCGTCGCCCTGGGCGGAAACCCCTTAACAAGATAGTTAATCCCATGTAAGGAGGGCATTGGGAGCCAGTTTGATGGGCGGCAGTACAAAGGACGCGTTTGAGCATGGTCACAAGGTGATAGGGTGCGGGTGCATGGTAAACTGATGTGGCGTAAGGTTGGAATGTGATGGGGAGCAGCAGTGAGACAGGGGAGTTAACTCCAGTGGCATGTGAGAGAAAAACACAATGAAGGTCTTTGGGTACGGCCATGGCGTGTCGTGTGCCAGTAGAGGTACAAATATATAATTAACTATCCGGTTTATTAATTTCTGCCTAGGATGACGATGGGTGGGCGTGGATCGGCCAGTCTGGGCCGTCCGCGTCTTTGGCCAGTTTGGGGGCCGTCACTAGGCCGGTTTCTGTCAACCCTGTACTCAGGGTCAGTTCTGCCCGGTGGATCCAAGGGGCAGTGGGGTTGAGCCTTGTACCTGGGGCGTAGCCAAGGGGACCGGTCAAGCTGGCCCTTGGGTTTGGCGGGGAGTTTGGCAGCAAGTGGGAGTGGCTATTTTAGGCGCAACCCTTGGCGCCCCCCTTTATCTTGTTTCGCACCCGCCCAGCCCACCCGAATAGAGTGAGTTCTGTTAGCTGTGGGATGGAGAGGGAGCTGAGTACGAGGAAAGGGGAGCTGACTCTGGATTGAGTCACCATCAGAGTGGCATTAAGTACTGTGCGAAGCGAGGGCACGTTCAAGTGGGTCGCCAATCGGGTCTTGTTTAGTAAAATGATGGACACCAAACTGTGTGAATGTACTGTATTGTCGTGTAAGGAACACGGGGGGGGGGGTTGAAGGAGACCGGTAAGGCAGAAATGGCTTTGTCCGCTCCAGTAGGGGAAAGGACGAACACTGAAGTCTTGGGGGTATGTAATACATTCCCGTCTGTGCGACGGTGGGCATGTGGAGGCGATGATACGGCAAATGACCACAAGTCCCACGCTGACTCGTGGTTCGGTCTCTCAGGGTCGCTTTGTGATGTGTGTGATCCTCACTCGGAATCCGTGGGATTGAGTGCTGGAATTCGGTGAGCGTTGATGCTCGCGGCGGGTGCCACTCATGATGGGGCGCCGGGGGTGTTGACAGTGAAGGCGGTGTTGACTTGTTCTGTAAAAAATGATGATGATGATGATGATGATGATGATGATGATGATGATGATGATGACAGTGAAGGGGAACGTACAAAACAGAGTGATTGCAGGATGCGAGGAGTGGCGGCGTCAATCACTCTGCCATGCTGGACGTGGCGCCACCAGCACTTGGTTGGGGGCCTTGTCATCTTTGTCGCGACTTGGGGGTGACTTGGCTGCAAACACTTGGTGTTTTTACTGGTAAGCTGCAAAAGTGGAGCACCGGTCAGGGTGACTTGGGCGTTACCTTGGTGTGTTTGACCGGGTTTTGATAGGGTGCGGCGACTCATTTTGCCGTATACCGTAGTGGTTGAGATGACAGGTGAGGGCACGTACTGAAGGAGAAAATACGTAAGTCCTGCAGGACGCAATGGTCATCAACGACCGATCCCTAGATTTTGGCTTTTATTTGTGTTAACTCCGATGACCATGCCGTCGTTTTTGTGGGTGATGCTGGGCATGGTGCATTACATCTCACAACAGAATGCAAAGCACAACTTGGTCCTGTCAAGGCCAAGGCAGGCAAAGGGCTTAACACTGCCAACAAGGCGATCATTGGCACCAGTAGGATGAGAAAGAAAATCGCCACATTACATTATGCGAATGGCGATAGCAAAGTCGCTACTGGTCAGGTTCGATACATTGATACATTCAACAATGCGTGCGCCATTTCACACCCGCATCCCTGAAACGTCCCAGGCCCTGATTCGTAACGAGGCAGCAACTGGCAACTTCCAGTTCGGACAGAGCCCACAGTGACTCTAAATGAATAAGGCCCTCGTCGCTCAAGTGTGGACAACATATCACCAATTTCTTCAGTCTAGCCAATTTTCCAACCTGCATCAAGCCCGCGTTTGTCACCTGATCACAAGAACACAGGTGCAATTCCTTGAGGGCCGTCAGCCCCTCCAAAGCTCTGAGGCCATCATTTGTCAATTGCTGGCACCCGCTCAAGCGCAAACTCTCCAGCCCCACCAGGTTGCCTATATTCTTCAATACTTCATCTGTGAGCGGGCCTTGCGAGCTCGACACTTCCAAGTGGGTGAGTGTACTCAGCTTCCCCACAGACGCTGCCCTTTTCATGGTCAGCCGGTGACCCCTCAGTTTCAAATCCACAAGGGAAGGCAACCTCTCAAGGCCTTCCAAGCCCACATCTGTGACCTGTGCACAGAAAGATAACAACAGAGACTTGAGGGACACTTGCTTTCCAATGCTCTTCAGCGCCTCATCAGTGATCATCTCACAACCAAACAGCTCTAGGCGGGTGAGCATTGCAGACCTTGCCACATGCTTGATGCCCTCATCTGTCAGATTTAAACAACAACTGAGGCGCAGGTCCATGAGTGATGACCACTTCTGCACACGCTTCAGGCCATCATCTGTGCAACCTTGATAATATCCAACTTCCAGAGCTTTTAGTTTCTCCATCATGCCAATGTGTTCCCAACCCTTTTCTGATATTTTGTGGGCTGTAAATCGAAGGCTTGTGAGGTTCGTTGCCATTTCCAAGTCTTGGAGCACCTTGTCAGTGATCCTACATTGACCCAGGTCGACGTTTACAAGTAGCTTGTTTGTTGTCATGTGCCTCAAGCCCATATCTGTGATCCTTATACAATCTGCCAAATTCAGCTTGGTGATCGACGTTAGTGACGCCAGAGTTTCCAAGCTCTTGTCAGTAGCTCCACGGTTCAGAGTTACACTGGCTAGCTCCACCAAACCAACCAGGCACTTTAAGCCTCTGTCTGTGACCTGACCACGGAGACCCAAATTGAGAGTCACCAATCGTTCCAATCTTGCCAAATGCTGAATGCCAGCATCTGTTATCAAATCACAAGAAGCCAAATCGAGAACATTGAGTGCAAGAAACTGCCCCACGTGCTCAAGGCCACCATCACTTACACCACACCCACTCATAGTCAAGCTAGTGAGGCGTGTTAGACTGTGGAAATGACCCAGGCCAACATCAGAGGACAGGTCACAACCAGCCAAGCTAATAGTTTCTAGCGCTGTCAACTTTCCCACATGAACCAACCCAGCATCGGTAATCCTGTGGCACATTGCCAGATTTAGGCACACAAGGGCTGACAGCTTTCCCACGTGTGCCAGGCCTGCATTTGTTATCAACCGGCATCCAGCCAAGCACAGATTCTTGAGCGAGTCCAGCTCACCAACATCTCGCAAATTGGCATCCATTACTCTGCTGTATGACAGATCCAACTCCACCAGACATGGCAGGTCGCTCAAACCCGACAACGATCCTTCTCGAATGCGATCTTTGTAGTTCTCCAAAGACAGCTTCCGCACTCCTGTGAAAGTGCCCAGCACACCCATTTCTGCTGAGGGGCACAGAACGGCAAGTGTCTGGGTCGCCCATCGGCTCCAGTGCCGATTCACAAGCCTTGTACGCGCTGTCAGCGAGGTGCTCTGCCCTTTGCTGCCTTCCAGCACTTCCTTCACAGTGTCCAGCACTCCAAAGGGCAGCTGGGCCCAGTCTGCATGTGGCCCCTGGCCATGGCATGGGGCAGTTCATGTCAGAAACAGCAGCACATGCATTTAGAAAATAGGGCAATGTGCACATCTCCTGCGCTCGCTTGGGGGACCAGCACCTGGATTCCTATTTCTTCTGTCATTTACTTCCTCCATCCCATATTAAATGTCTTCTACGACTTTGACGCATCATTTCTCCATCAGAGTTATACCTTTTCAATGAAATTTTGTCCACAGTTGTTCTACGTTTTAGTATTTGGTCAATATTTGAAGTCAATCTGTCAAGTGTTCATCATTTAGCAGTACTTTGTAGCAAGGGTCCTATAGCCAGAAACCCACCAGTTTTTCAACGATTCTACAAAAGCCGCCGTTTTGGCTGTTTTGAGGAGCATGCATTCGCGGTGGCGAAACAGAGCCGCTAGTGCAAAACTAGTCTATCCACGCCATTTGGATAGAAGATTGGTGTGGTGCTTGTAAGGAAGTGCAGTGATAGCACATGCATTCTGAAGGCCCTGATCGTGCAGCTCTCCGTAGCTTAGAGCTGAAATTCAGTGCCGGCCTGTGGACCGGAGATACCTTCCGGCCCCAAATTTTCGGGGCCAAGACTTTTTCGTCTTCTATTGGCGCCATTAAGACAACAGAGGGTGACTCCGAAACCCCCTGACAAGGTGACAGAGAAGGTGAAGTCTAGCACCGCATTCAGCGGTGGCCGATTGTGGGAATTGCTGTCGACATGAGATTGGCAAAACTGGTTTTGTTGTGGAATTTGAAACGGCTAGGCACAAACAGAATCGTTAGATGGCTAATGCCGTGTCTCTTTCTTGAATGTAGACTAGCGGTGGTGATGGATTGTAGACCGCACAAAAGAGGTTGGTGTTGGTGCCACTCATGAATCGTGGGCCAAGCTGCCCGCGAAGGCCTTGATTTAAGGATAAATCGGGGCAAGATGCCCACACAGAGCCACACAAATACCTTGGAGTGGCAGAGCGCACAGGGCCCAGGCTTAAGTGCGCTGGATCTTGGCCTATTCCGTTGGTGGCAGGTCTTTGCATCGCGGATCTTGGGTTTCAGCGAATTCTGGCATCGTCGACATTGTGACGATGGCCTTCTGCAATGACGATCCAAACACCGTCGGCCATGTTTGGCCAGCACTATTCCATGCAAGGGATGTCCCCCTTCACCGCGGCAGTGGCGAAGCCATCCCCTTGGCTGCCCGGGACGGGAGTGTCCCAGAACCGTGGGGATCTCAAGCAGAAGCAGAATCAGGATGCCTAATTTCTTTTAAATCCATGGGCAATTTCGAGGGTGCCCTTCAAGGGGTGGGACTGAATTTTTCTCCTCAAAAATTGGATGTTAAGGGATGTTGGGACCCAACATTTCTGACTCTGACCTTGTTTTGTACCTTTGTAACAAATTTTATATTTCAAATAGAGGACAATTAATATGGGACGGAGGAAGTACTTTAAACAAAGGGAAACAAAATTGCTGTGCACACTGTTTGCTGATGCTCATCAGCAGGGACAAGATCTTGTGCAATACTCTGCAGCAGACTGCTGTCCAAGGCAAGAGGGCTAATGCAGGCATGCGCAAAACACACATGCTGGCAAGAAACTCTGTACCACACAAGCCAAAACATTCTTTGGGACATACGCATCACCTGTCTTTCAACTTATCAAAGCCGATCGTGAAACGTTGACTCTGGCTGGAATGGCAACTGGGATCCGGATAATGTTGTTTAGTTAAGGAATAAATGGGCAAGTTTTCCGACCCACATTCATCCAGGCCTGCCAGCCACTTCCAAGCAACTCCCTGCAGCCCCAGCCTGTGCAACAATGTGCGCTTGGTCTTGGCAATAATTGTTTCACACAAAATTCTTGAGGTTTACATCGCCCTGCACTTTAGTGTCAAATGGCACAATACCCCCATTTCTTCTGCCAGGACTGGAGGGACATTTGCCTCTCAGATGTGCTGCAACACTTCAGATTCGAAGTAAAGCAAATGTGCGCCTGCCCTGTTGTGGCAAAAATATATAGATCAGATCATCACGTGACCAACCTGCTGCATGAGGTCCCAATCTCAGCCCATCTGGCAGAGGGGTGTGGGCCAGGAACCACCTCCAAAACGAAGCTCCTTCTGTGTGGGTGAATCTGCAGACCACACAGTTGCAGCCACAAAGACACAAACTCAGTTCTTGGGGGGATTCGCAGATAGCGATCTGGTATCCAGAAGGGACACAGACCACGCACAAGGGCCAGGATCAATGCTTGTTGCGTCAGGGATGGACCCTATTGGGACAGAGTGGAATGCGGGAAAGGCAAATTCCCTCATCATCCATTCAACTGCACCCTGAGCAGGGCGCACTGGATGCAAAGGGGGGTGGACTGAGGATCAACTGCGGATCGTCACAGCAGATTGAGATGGAGTAAGTGTGTTTTTCTGTGTGACTGCAGAAGAGGGGAGTTCCCAGGCATCCACAAGGGGGCAAAGCTAGAAAGGGGGCGCACTAACGACAAGCACCATTTCTCAGCACCTGGAACTGCATCAAGACCACCAGGCACAATGGCCCAGCAAACTGAAAGGCACTGAATTATTGCGTGCTCACGGAAAGGAAAAAGGATAATAGTAAGACACAGCACTCCTCGGTCAAAGTACTTACAAGGCATGTGAGCCAAGCATTGTGCTCAATTTCATAGTGGGGCGCCACTTATGTTCGTTGCAACAGGCGGGTTAATGCGCCAAGGACGTCCCTTTTGGGCGAAATGCACAGCGTCGATTTCATGCTCAATGGCATCGCACCGCACAGCGCGAGCCAACTCCTCATGCACGCCACAAGCCTTTCTACCTTCCCACTCGCCAGCCTGGCAGGTGCCGGGGCAGTACCTTGGCCAAGAGCACAGATGCCATCGGGTGAATCACTCCCCCAGCGCAGGGGCCAGCATCGCCACGTTCGATGAGGTCCCGCGCAAGCATTCGGGATTCCGTCACAACAATCCAACACAGATCGGGATTATGCCCCGATGCACACGGCTTTTGGGTATTTGCTCAGCGCATACGCGAGGTCGTCACCTGCGATGGCGCCTCAACGAATCACGCAGCTGCCCCGATGAATAGCGCAACGCCTGTGCAGCCGCCGCGGACTTGGTGGCCAGCCCAGCCTGGGGGCGTTGAGCCTGTGAGTGTTTTTGACCCTGCGGCGAATGGTGGGGTGAACTCTCGTCACGGTATTGTTGGCTGTACTGTGCAGTAAGGGACTAGACTGAGTCGATTTGGTCTGTTTAGCGTCAATCTGGCGCTGGGGGAGGAGGGGTCCAGACTTGTAGCGATGAGAGATTATGTAGTCGCCACAGCATCGACCAGGGTGCCCGCCGGATTCTCGAAATGGCAGGATGCATGTCGAGATGCACAACTCCCAAACGAGTGGAAAAGCACTTGTGCGGTCTGGGTTGAGGTGCTGGCGCAGCTTTGAAAGGTGCCGCTGAAGTCAACAGCGCTCAGTGTTTTGACAATTTGGTTTGGGTGCGCATCCGGAAAGTGAATAAGGAAGTCGAGTGGAAGGACAAAAAATGACTGAATTTATTGGAATGGCGGAACAAATTGACGGCCACACGTTCGAATTCCAAGATTTGAGGTTGATTCAACAATCTTGCTGTCTCGCAAGACAAAGGTTGCGTCTCAAGTGAGAGACGCAAAGGTTAAGCTTGGGGACAATTTAACAGGGACCAAGGGGTCTCATGTAGCCTGTGTTGACTGCACTCGGCTCCCTGTGTACAATCTCGTGTCCATAATAATCCCGGCCAAGTTCGCCCGCAGCATGGCTTTCCCTTTTAAAAGAGCAGCTTCCTTTTTCTTTCCTTTCTTTCTTTTCACATCCTTTGTGTTCCCTTTCAGAATTCCAGTCCGCACTGCACATTGCTCGTCGGTGATACTTTCGTGGTGGTCAGCGAGCAAAAGGCGCGAAAACAAGCAGCCACAAATAGTAACTGAACTTAAACACAGTCAAACCAGATACAAGGATCAGCCACAGTTGCGCAGCCAGTCTCAACAGCCAATCTCCGTCCATTTCATAGTTATTCGCGGAATTGGTGCACAGAACACACACAAGGCGAACTTCTGCATACAAGGTAGTTACGTAAGAAGCAACAGTCGTTTCCGCCTCCAGCCCCCCCACGGGCTGCGCCCCCTGGCCAAGCCCGTTCTTCTCCACCCCAGACACCGCCGAAACTGAATCCACTGCAGTGCCCGTGGGGCAATGCATTGGTTAATCTGCTGCTCAATTCAACCCCATTGCCCGAGGGAGCCTCACCAGAGAGCAGCCTATCTGCCGCCATGCAGCGTTCGTTCCAGTCACATGGCGGCTGCACCGAAACAGCACAAGGCGAATGCGCTGTTGCTGGCGCTGTTATAGCACCACATTTGCTCCACATATGCCCAGAGGAACCCTCTGGGCTTGGCACAACAAAGTGCCGTTAACTACTAGGTTCAATAACTCGGTACCTTCACAAAGTACCTCTTTGTAGCGTGGTTGGATCGCGCCCAAGCAACTGGACCCACAGGCCCGTGGCCTGGTCCCGCTGTGATGCGTCTCTGCCTTCATGACCAGCTGCCCTCCCCCCTGGTCAGTACTTTGGTTCAGTACTTTGAACCGGCTGAATAGCCCTTCCCCGTTGAGTAGTATGGCTTGGCGGTGGTGGGCACCGCCGGCACAGTGGGAGGCCTGCTCATCCAGACTGCCTTGATTACCTGCAGCGGCGACAAAGAATGCATGGGTTCTCTTGTCGGTGGGGCCCCAACAGCACCTCTATGCACAGCGAATGTCGCATGGAACATGCAAGTACAACAAATGGGCACTCGACAATGTAAACTTGCTTGCATTGCCGCACAGCCATCTGAAACTGTGTTAAATGACAGCCATAAGCACTGCCAGTGATACTAACCACCCTGTGGGTGGCAAGGACGCCATGCAAAGGACACATCGGTAGCCATGGCCATGGCCATTCCCATTTCCACATTCACATCAGCACTCATTCCAATTTCCATTCTTTCACAAGGCTTCGTTTGCCCGCATCGCCTGATGCCTGTTTCTTGGCCAAGAGAGCACTCCGTTTTGGCCAGGGTCGCCAACCTGCACGTGCGCTGACCTCTGCATGCGCACAACGCCAACATGGACACGCATCACAAGCAAGCAAGCTCCCATGCATGGTGAGGTGCAAAGCCCAGAAAATTCATAGTTGCATCTCGTAGACTACTGGTACGACGTAGCACCGCGGACTTATGGCCACAATTACTCGATTAAGAAAATTTGCTTACAAATGACCATTCTCTGCGTGTAACTTCTCCACAGTGGCATGCACATTCGTACAGTTGTGTACAAATGATCACCTCACCCATGCCCTGGCCAGATTGCGACGCCCCAAAGCGTAAGCCAAGCCCCCACACACATGAAGGACATGAACACGCAGTTGGGGAATAGTGGCATACAAGATTCAGCAATCAGCAGTACTTGCTTCTGCCACCTTCTTTTCCCAAATGCTTTTCATCTCAGACATCGCCCCCGCCCACCTGAATCGTGCCGATGGCCGCCAGGATGAACGACGCCGCGGCAGAGGTTACGTAGGCGATCCATATCGAGTCCACGGCGTCGTACACGGTGCAGCACACGAGGTCGACGAGGTCGGCGTGCAGGACCCGCCACGCGGCGCCAGCGATGATCGTGCGGACGAAGGCCAGCGCCCCACGGGCGTCCGTGATTTGCGGGATGGCCGCCCCGAGGTCCTCTGCCGTCGAGGAGGCACACGTGATTGTCAACGCTGGTGTGCTGCTCTGAAATATTCAACCCTTCCGCATCGGATAATTTCACAGTTATGCTGTTCGCTCCGCATTTTATTTTTCACGGCGTTATTTCTATTCCTTTTACGTTGCTCCGCACAGAAAGGCCGAGACTTGCGTTATTATTTATATTATTTTCTCCGCAAAAAAAGACCAAGCGTTACGTTACTATGCGGGTGTGTTCAATATTTTGCAGTATTGGGCCACTCACATTCACGTGATTGCATTCCACATCTAGGTGACTGAATAAGAAACGGGTCTTAACATTATAAGCTGGCAACGCGGCTTGGAGCGCCCCGGAAATGAATTCTTTAGAGTCTGACTTAGCATTCTTGTGCAAGAATCGACCCCCTGTGACATGGGGGTTACGTGAGTGGCGGGGCTCTCCGAGTTGGGTGCTGTGGGCATGCGTCCCTGGGTGGGCCAGTGGCTGCGTTCGAGGGCGGTAGACGGGTGGTGCACGGCTATCCGTGTTGCGGCTGGGGCGCGCCGTGTCCGCTTGCTTTCGAGGCACGCCTTCCCGGCGCGTTCCCGCGTCGTCGCAGCGGCAATGAAGACCATCGCTGGCGCCGATCGCCACAACGGCGATGGCCCGCGCCCAAACGTGCGGCCTGGCGTTGCCGTCCTGGCAAGGGCTCCCGTCGGGCCACGCAGCGACTAGAGAGCCTTGCAGCGCTCCGCTGCGGCAGTCATTGGCACAGTGACCGCGGCACGGGATGCACTCAGCGCCCCCTTGGGCCAAGCGTTCGGGGCCCACGGGCCCTGCAGTGAATTTTTGGAAAGTGGAGAACGGGTGTGCGTCTCCCGCCCGGGGCCGGGGTTGTGCTTGAGCACGACCACATGGCGGGGCGTGGACCTCCACCATCGCGTCCACAGCGCACGGTGGGTGACAACCACGCGTCAAGAGCGTCGACTGCGCTCTTGGGTCGTTCGAGGCAATGCGGCTGAGGCGATTGCTCGTGAATCAAGCGTGCGGGTTTGAGCAGGTCATCCTTAAGGGTTTCCCCGGTCGCAGAGAGGGAGCCAGCTCTCGCGACGGTGCTGGGCAGCCCTGGCAGCGGCGACGGCGGCAAAGGACACGGCAGTCAAAGAACGTGCTGAGCAAATTGTCGTGGAGTGAAGAACACCAACAGTGCGACCTGGCCAACGAGTGGGTGGGCTTTCAATGGATAATGTGTGAACGAAAAAGTGCAGAACATCGGGCCGAAGGCCCGACTTCTGGACTGGTATGCAATAAATAAATAGTCCAATGCATAAGTAATCAGGACATGAATACAAGTAAAATGAGCTTCACGGCCATGCACAAGACTGGTCGCATTCACAACGAACCATCGCACATACCATGCCAGGTGATCGCCCAATGCCACATGGTGAATAATGACACGACAATGACAATGCCCTGAAGAGCGGCTGCCAAGCGCGCCCCACGCCAAAGAATAGAAACTGGTGACAGAAGTTGGTGACAGAAATCGGTCAGACAGAAACTGGTGCCCGAAGGTTCACCCTGCCCGGCTCCCACCTTCAGCCTGGTCCAACGCCTCCTCGAAGTCCTCGAGCGGCAGATCCCACAGCACCTGCAACTCCTCCACCGACCTGTTCTTGGCGCTCGGCGCCAGAAAGTAGTACTTAAGGAGGGGCTCGACCCTGCGCCGAAAGTCCGCTGATACGGCGTTCTCCACCCGCGCGATCGCATATTCGTCCATGTACAGGCACGTGTCTTCTGTTATCTCCCGGGCCATGGTGCCAAAGCCTGCGATGCCATTAGCAGCACCAAGTCAGGAGCTGTGGCCTTTTGGTAGATTGTATTATATGTAAGATGCAAGCGACAAGAGTCTTTTGCATTTTACAAACGACTTCCCATTGCCATAAACGATTGTTTTGTCGTCATGGGCATTTTGTCAACGATTTTTACCACTGGTATTGGTACTTACTGTGTGCAGGGAGAGCACAGCATACATGATTGTGGCATCATCGGTTACCTTCTGAGCAGATTAACACCAATTGAAATTTAAATTTAAACCACAATTAACTCAAAAGCCCCCTGGTGCGATTCAGGTGGGGGTATTTGGGAGGGGACTCCTATACACAAACTGACGGAATAACGCGCAAGAAAGGAAGAAAAACATGCAAAAAGAACCTGCGAATGAATATTGCACACATGCATACTTCAGGCACTGCATGAAGTTATAGGAAGCTGGATAACGTGAAGACAGTGCTGAAGTTGAAGAAAATGAAACAATTTCTGTGGCCCACCGGGCTCCCAATGGAGCCAAAGGGCCCAAGTACTGACAATGCACCGCTTAAAATTCCTGACTCAAAGTCCTTCAGCCAGTGTGTCCGAGGTGGAGTTCACAGCTAAATGGCCAGCCAGCGAAGAATGAAAAGCACCAAACAAGAAAAGGAACAAGACAAGAAACGTAAGTATAATGAAGGAATAAACAAATATATACATCTAGACATACAACACATCAATAGGAATAAATAATACTTCCTCTGTTTAAGATTAATTGTCCCCTATTTGAAGGACAAAATTCGTTACAAGGACGACCTCAAAATTACAAAGCTAAGAATCGGCAATATTGGGTTCCAAAACCCCTAGCTACCAATTTTCAAGAGGACTAAATGAGCCACGCCCCATTGAGCGTTAGGCGAAAGGAATATTTTGGTCATTTTTGACCCCAAGCATCGAGGTATATCGGGTAAAAGACGCTTGATACAAACTGATTGCAAGTCTGCAATTCCTAATGGATTGGCTTGGTTTTTGGACCGCACACTCCAAATTCATAAGCATAGATTCGGGTTAAATTTCACTAACGAATAAGTGCTCAATTTGAGCAGCTGTTTTCGCAGGACTTGGGAAAAAGGGGAAAAATGGGTGTTTTGGGGGGTGGAGCACCCTTGCTACACAGTACTGCCAAATCTGCCATATGCCATGGATTGACTTGAAATTTTTGATAGTATACTGCAAATTTACAAGCACAACTTTGCGAGAAATTTCACTAAAAAATGATGTGGGTAAGATGGAGAAGTAATGCTCCAAAATCATAGAGAACAATTAATCCTGGCGCAAGAAAAGCAAAGAGGGGCGCCTCACCGACACCGAAGCTGAAAATCACGAAGAGCAGGAGCCACATGAAGATCATCACGGCCAGGGTTCCCCAGGGCGACGCCAGGCACACCACGAAGAGGCACACGAGGGAGGCCACCACGATCATGAGAACGAAGCTTGTGATGAGGACTGCGCGGAAGGCCTTCTGGGCGTCGCCGGCCTCGTCCTCGTAGCCCTGAACCTCCCTGGCCTTGTCGAGGTACACCTCCAGGTTCTGTTATTGAGCAACCGACACCCTTCAAGGGAGAATGGTGGAACGAAGTAGCGATAAGAGGTTCTCAATCTGGTATCACTTTCTAACAAAGCAGTGTTGATCAACCGATCGGGAAAGTGGGGTGGGGTGATGGGGGGAGATTTGTTACACTCCGAGGAAAAGAACAGGTAATACAAATGGCACCGCCACCTGAGCAAATATGTAAGAGACTCTTTCCATGCTGCAATAAAGATGACGTAAAATCTCAAGTGCGAAATGATGGGCACACAACACAAGCAAGGGCTTTGTGTGTGACGGCTCTTTGGCAACTACAACCAATGAAACTTCGCGTCATGCCTCTGACAACACAAACAAGGAAGAAACAAGAGAACCATGGGCGCTCACATTGGCACGAACGTCCTTGGCCAATTTCAGCGCGTCGGAGGCCAGCTCAATGGTGTCTGGCGACACGAGCTCGACGGTGCTTGTCGACGCCAGCTGCTCAAGCTGGGTCACGACAGATTCTGTCTTGTCAATCACGGTTGACAGGTTTTGGTGAATCTGATCCAACTGCACCCACACACAGTATGCCCATCATCAAGTCGAAGGCACAACGGCAATGTGCTTTGTCGCTTTTGCACAAGGGCAGTCAAAGGAATCATGGCATAATACACATGTAGTGATGATATAGATACATACAACTACGTTCATTGCTAGCTACAATTGCAATCAGTAAGATGATATACGACGCACGCCAAACTACATCGCCCTGTGCCATTGCCCTGATACTATGGTGAGACATGCTGGACTGTGGAAAGTCACGTGAACAGTCCAAAAACACTAATAAAGAATAACCACCCACAAATTAAATTGTGCTGGCAGGCCAGCACTCGTCGGACAAATGGATTCCACACTCTGTTAATTCCTTTGCAGTCTAGTCCAAAAATCAATCAGTCAATTCACTCAGTCATAATCCCTGCCGAACGGCAACGAACAGCTGAGTGAGGCTGTCGTGCTGCTCCGGGCACAGCACTTCAGAACAGCTCAGACGGACTGCAGAGTACCAAACAATGCAACCCGTCAATGTCGATGCCTTGTCCGCAAAGAAAACAACGTGCACCTCTACAAATAAGAATAGAACACATTTGCAAGTGCGGTTCCTGCACATGCCACCCTGTGACAAAAAAAGAATGTGTCACGCAACGAGCAAGCCCCTCCCGACCAAGGATGATGGCAAGACGTGCTATGGCACACCATGGGCCAAATCACTATGCGCCATTCAATCCAGGGCAAAGTCAACCACGCAAGAGCTTTGTTGGCAACTAGACAACACGAACGCTAGCTCGCCCACAGATTTTTGATCCAAACCAAGAGGTATCGTGCATTCCTTGCACCAATTGTGGCGACCCAAATTACTGCGTTGAAGGCTGCGCCCGCACGGCCTGTTGAACCGATCAATCCGTATTGTTCTCTTACTTGGTTGATTGATTTTCTGCATGCATTTCCTTCACTATATTGACTGCTTAATTCATTTGTTTACTTTCGTCCGTACCTCGTTCTCAGTGCTGTTGACCAGGCGGAAGCTTCTGGTGACGACAACATTGACCTTGTCCTCTGTTTCGTATATTCCCCATGCAGCCATCCCGATTACGACAAGGGTGTGGGCGATGACCAACGTAACTAGCATGAACGCCGCACACTTTCCAGTCCTGTATGGCAACGCATTCCGTTAAGATTGCAAACACAGGAGCAACGTCATATCGCACACTATCAACAATCAATATACAGGCAACAATGCACGACTGGCATCAATAATACCAGAGCTCCATCAATCAGACCCAGTAGCTACTTCATGAAATCGTTTCATTGGCTTCATTTGTTGACGCGCAAGAAACACAACCCTTGTACCTGCCAGGCACACACAGACAGGAAGCTGGATGCTAGCACTGTTCCGACTATTTGTGCGCATGCAACCATGCCACGTGCTTACGCGCAAACAACTTTACATGAGCAACAAAATGTGCCCATCGGCATTAGTGCTATTCAAGGTGTGATAACAATCCCTCCACAGACTTCACCTCGGAATGCAGCTGCGCAGCAAGCAGGCAACAACACACTATTGCTGCACATGCAACATGACGCATGGGGGGCCATCTTTATTCGCTACTTCACCATGTTTTAATCATTCAGGAATGGGAATGTATGCATCCAGCCAGTGTGCATCATCAACAATCCTTTAAGTGAATGCGATGCGGGCATTACACAATAGTGTAACAATAGTGTATGTACCATACAGCATGCACTGCTTGAGCACTGCAAGCGGAAGCACAATTACTCAATGTGTGATTTCGTGTGCTGATTGCTCAGACCAGCAATGCTCGAAAGCAAGTCGATCGCAGCAACAAGCAGAGATCAAAAGACAACCTCACCCGCCTTTGTGATGTAGTATCACGCAAAACACCAGTAAAGAAGAAAGCTCACCTGCTTTGTGCCTGCCTGACCTTCTCCAGTTCCGACTCATCCGACACTCGAGGCCTTATGCAGCACAGCACACAGCTCTGCACGCCAGGCAGGCAAAGGCATTTTCAGCAACGCTCAATATGCATCTCTTGCACCATCCATCAAAAAATTTTGGACGTCATCAGAGTCTCGCAGGCCGCATAGGTCAAAGTCCTATGGTGGATTTCAGCAGCAAGGTTGTGTGAACCATGCAGCGCACTACCTAGCAGATCGGCTGTATTCGTCCATCCATCCGACAAGGAAAAGCCAGGCTAGCTGAAAGCGTGAGGGCAGGCAGACCTTCGACAAACAGGCTAGGCATGTATGAACCTCTGTGTGCAGCTGCTATGAGCTGAATGCATCTGTCAACACATAGCACTGTCTTACTTTTTCATGTCAGTGACAAGCTTACCACTGTACCCTCTGGGGCACCATTGGTACAATACTCAGCATGTACCCAGGTGCACATCGATTCCCCACATTGCGTGGAATGGCACAATATGTGACCTACCCATATGAGCATCGCCAAAGCGAACAAGAGGCAGATCGAGGCCATGACAAGTCCAGCAGTTGCTTTGTCTTCGGCAACATCCTGCAGACCACATCAACCATGTCGTCACAGACTCTGCCACATTCTCCCACTTCAGTTTCCTGTTCTTTAGGCAGCTCACTGTTGAGTCCATTGGCTGCTGCATTGGGGGCCTTCTGCCATGCTTCACCATGTACCTGGATCTTTTCCACATGCTATGATATTCACTTTTGTATTGGCATACTTGAAACTTCCACTATGGAAAAGAATCTTGAAAAACAATTCCTACCTGCCAAGCTGACCATTGTGCAACATTACTTCTTTTCTGGGTATCAATTGCTGTTTCAAGCTGACACACAGGGGCTGTCTACATTCTTTTGTGGCCTTCTTGTGTTTTCTAGAGGTCATGTCTGTTGTTCTGTTCTTTTCTTCTTTCACTGTGGGTTCAACCATGTGGGGCACTCTGGGCCCATGCTGCGCCACAGGGAACGCAAGCAATGTCCATCCTTCAGCAACTGGCACCTATGGCAGTGGCTGCTGCAGCAGTCGTTTGCCAAGTGATGAAATTGCCATGCACTCCATTCTTGTGCCACACTTGGGGTGGGTGGCAACAAATTGCAGGTTTGGAGGCAAAGGGCCACTCCAAGAGCACTTCGTTTATGATTGCTGTCCCACCCACCCCTTGGCCCACGGTTTAAAGGACGATAATCTGGATTTCAATTCCGATATGGACCTCTGATGTTGGCAGCTGTGACTGCATATGCACGATCATCGCGAAATAATGGTTTGGCAGCCCATTTCCTTGGAACCTATTTAAATCTGTACCAAATAAAATTGAAACTAGCACCAAACAATATTTGAATCTGGCATCAAACTGCCAACTTACCAAATAAAACTGAAACTAGTACCAACGCATAATGAATCTGGTATCAAATTCTTGCCCGTTCCCCAAATTGTTGAGCCAGTACCAATTAGTCATCAAATCGCCGCCGCCACACAAGGCGCATAGACTCTAAACCCTAAACCAAGGGCAAGCCCAGTGCTGGTTGCAGGGCTGGTCGCAAGCTGCGACTCGGTGACTAATTGGTACTGTGTTCAACATATTTTGGTACACCATTCAATAGTTTTGTCACGGGCGCGAAACTGGGTACCACATTCAATATGTGTCGTTATTAGTGTCAATTTTATTTAGCACGTTAGTGGTTTGGTACCAGATTCTATATTATTTGGTGCTAGTTTCAATTGTTTTGGGTAAGGTGACTGTTTGGTACCAGATTCAACATTATTTCGTACTGAATTAAAATATACGCGCATTTTCTCTATTTGGGTATTTTTTGGCAGCTTTGTGTCCTGCTTTTGTACATATATCCACAGCATGATGTTGGGCGTTCACTGCTCACTCCTTGCAAATCTATACTTCTGGGTGTTGGCAGTTTGTTTAGAGCTTTCTTCCAAGTTTATGTTTCTGGGCATTAGGGTTCAGGCATTATGAAGTAGAGTCAGTGTGCATACAAAGCAGCTGCAAATGTGCAAACTCAGGCTCCCCATACAAATGAAAGGCTGCAAAACGCCAAGGAAATGGGCTGTGAACGCACAAAAGAAAGGGCTGAAAACTTGTATGACCCATGCCATACATGCCACACCCCAAACATGAATATGCCATACAGCACACATCACCACCGCAGGAGAATGCGCTGGCCATGCAGTGGTGAGGGCAGCTCCCTTGCCAGCTTGCGTTTGACGCAATCAGTGGACGCGCACCCCTTGCAGTCTCCAGGGTCGTTTCTGGAGTTTGCAACGCTGTTGTTTGTGTCTTCAGCACCTGACTGTGGTGCCAAACAACAGAAAAGCGGGCCAGCAGCTTTCCAAACCACACATGACCACAGGCCCCTGTCCCCTTACTGTCCCATCTGACCAACTGTCGACCCCTTGCATCTTCTCCAGTGTCTTTCCTGTACCTACGATATTTCTTGCCACAAATTTTCTTGTTCATTGCCAGGACTCCTGGTCAAGGCAGATTCCCTAGCAGGAATGTTTGAATAGCAGACCAGCAGACTAATGTTCTGGTGGCTTCCCTTGCCTCCCATCTTTGCGTAACTACTATGCTTGCATCTTTGACTCATTTTTCGCTCTCATTTATCAATCACATTTTACGTTCAAACCCCCCTCCCACCCCTTACACTGTCTTGCACTGCCTTGCATGCCCATCTTGCAGCACTCGCAGGCTTCTTCACCACCAGAAATGGTGTAGAATAGGGCCAACACACTAGTAGAAAACAGCATGCTTGCGAAGCATTTTGAAACAAATTGATGCCATCACAGCTACTTTTTATGCCATCGCAATCACTGTGATGGCATCATTTTGTGTCAAAATGGCATCACAGTTGGCATCGCAAACATGCCACTTCCTATTAGTGACCGAAAGCTCTTGCGGATGGGATTCTGTCCATTTCTCAACAATTTTTTCTCTCTGTCAGAAAGACTGCAAGCAGTTCTCTTGGAATGCTCTGCCTTTGCCTCGCACACACCTTTCCCAGCCACACCACCACCTCGTTCACCATCATCCACCTCTTCAACACGACCCTGTTCCCCACTGCACAACCCCCACTGCAATGGCCACAGCCACTGATGTTCTTCATCCACATTTTTCATCAACTCTTTTCGTTTCCTCTTCTTTCCTTTCCTTCCCAGCAGAGACATGTGACATGAACAGTGCATCGATTTTTCACGTTGCCTGTAAGGATGTTCACTCAGTCCTCTCCTTTTCTTTTCCTTTTCCTTGGTGGATGGATGACAAGGATCAGGATAAGGGCATTCACCAGGGTTCTCTCCTGAGTGTGTTGCTGTTCATGGACATATGTACATTGTATTTCTTGATGCTGTGGGGGGCGGGGTTTTGCTATCATTGTGAGGTCACTGTAGACCACTTGCAAGGGGATGCTATGCGACTATCTGAGTTCATCAGAGACACCTGACAAGACCAGTGGGTCGAATTTTCACGTTGCCTGTAAGGATGTTAATTCATGCATTCATGTCCACACTGTCCAGTCCTTTCAATTTTCTTGCCTTTTCTTGCCTTTTTTTCCTTTTGCTTCCACCATTGGTGGTAAACTTCCAGACGGGGTGGCAAGCGGACAATTGACCAACTGCATGAACGTGGACGAGCAGACGTGTCGGACGTGGGCACGTCCCTGTTCGCCTGAGAGCCAGGAGCGCCGCCTTCTCTTGTGTAGGCAAGCACAAGACAAGGTCCAACCCCGCATTCACGACTGTTGTGGGCAGCTGCGTGCAGGCATGTTACACAGGCATGCATATGCGCGCTCGAGACACTCCGCTCACTTCGAGGTAGGTCTTCGTCTCCGGTTGGTAGGCATCCCGCCCCGAGCCGCTGAACAGCGACGCCACGGGGATCTGGGTGCACACGGACACGTACTTCGTGTCGTTGAAGCTGACGTCCTGGTCCGCCATCGCCGAGGAGGTCAAGCTGCCGCCTGGGAAGAGAACGGGCGGAGCCAACTGAGCGCAGTCCGCGAGGGGGGCGGTCGCCCGCCCATTGCTGCATCGCTTTGTTCAAAACTCCCGGTCAACAACGCGTAACCCACATCGGCAAATCTTGAGTGGCGCGAGTCAAAAAACCTCTCGCCTGTATGGAGAAGAAGCAGCCTGTCGGCCAATTCTTAGAACGATACAACGTGCGGCCAAAGCGACAGGGCGCCACAGCAGAGCTTGGAACAAATGCGACAGGGCGTGCGATTGTGCAGACGTTCGCTGCGCTCCCGCCTGTGGACTCCAGCCAGGTCCCCAGACGGCCAACCGCAGAAGCTCCCTCGGTGCCACACGCCGGCGCACGCCCCCGAACCCAACCCAGATGATCCGTTGTCGAGCGCAGCCTTCGCGCCATGCGCCCCCCGTTCGCGGTCGCTGGGACGGCGCGCCCAACATCGGAGCCACCACGTCGCGTCCCGCCCCTTCAACCCTCAACGGTCAGCTTGACAATCCGCGCAAACGCCCCCCCCCCTTCCCTTCCCCTCGCGCTCGCTCCCTCCACAACGACGCGCATTGCGAAAACAACACCGCAATTCGCCGCGCGCCCCCTCCCCCCCCACCCCCCCACCCCTTCTTGCCCGCCGCCTCACCGCCCTCCGGACAACGCCTCTGAGGGCGAAACTGCGCTCTGAGGCTCCAAAGCATCACAAACATGGCTTCCTCCGCCGCTACTTGAACACAACGCCCCCTTTCCAACCATATCAACCAGTCCCGCCTCCCGCAAGCCCCCCCGCCAGTGCCCCTCTGTCGACGCCAAATCCCGAGCCGGCAGACGAGCCAAAAGGCAGCACCACTCCCAGGCCACACCCCCGGGAATGCCCCTCCCGCCCCCTTCGAAACTTTCCAAACGGCCGGTCGACCTTCCCACAGCGGCAGCGCCCAGGACAATACAGTCACCCCCCACCCCAACCACCACTCACAACCCATTCACCCGCCTATCGCCCATGCACCCCCCCCAGCTCCATCCTCTCTTATCCAGTTCCCTCCAAGGACTCACCTCAGGCCCGCGCCGCGCCGCTCAGTCCCCCCAGCCGCCAATCCCCGCCCCCTGGCCGGCTCGACGACCGCCGACGTCAGGTACGCTACACACCGGCGCGGCTCCGGCGCGGAAGGCCGCCGATTATACCGTGGATGGGGTACCCCTGGATCGGACTGGTTGCTGCGGCCAGCGACCGGCGCTAGCCCTAGTCGCGGGCGCCCGTCTTTGGTTATGCCCTGCTTGGAGGGCCGGAGTCGAACTGCCCTAATTTTTTGGGCAAGCGGTGGTGGGGTGGGGCGGGGAACGGTACTTTGCGGGCCCTCGGGCCCAGGGGGAGGAGGGGGCGATGTGATGGCCCGTCGCGTCCAAGGTTGTCCGATGTGACGCGTCGGCAACAACTTGGGCGAAATTGGGTGTGGAAAAACGGGGAAGAAACGGCCGAGTGTGGCGACGATGATGCAGACCATGAGCACTGTGCACTTGTGAAGACCAGTGACGGACACGTTGCAGGAAGAGCCACCGTCCTTTTATCGGTCAGTGAGTAAGCGAATGCAATGTCCGAGTTGTGTTCTTTGGCGAGTCCGCAGCACGAAGACGTGATGGAGACGAGACGGAGAAGAAAGCCCTATACACGCACACTTCCTGATGGGAAGGTTTCTGTGTGTTTTTGCTGCCAACTATTGGGAGGCACCCTAAACCAATGAATTGTGTGGTGCTATTCCACGGAGCTGTATTTTGAGACTGTGGGGAGACAGGGGTGACACACATGGGCAGCCCTGAACGTGACTATTATACATTTTGTTGGGGTATGTATTGTGGGTAAAGCATGGATGGTGGCATGCACATCTTTGTGGTAACGCCATATGTTGGAAATCCTCTTCTTCTGTGCATCGTGTATAGTATAATATAAATCATGTATATACATGTATTATATATAATACATGCACACCTTGAATCCCAACCCGTCTCCATCTCTGTCCTCACATCCGCATCAGGAACCAGCGTCGCTGTGTGACAATGCCATGAACAGATGTTGTGCTTCCATCAGTTAGCCTTGTAATTTTTGCTTGTTCCGCTGTTTCAAGTATTTGTACACATTGCCATGCACAGTGCGATATGCATTGTTGGGTGTATGCAGCTTTTGCTAGGTGCCCTGTGCACATATTGCACTTTGGATGCACACCCTTGCTGCTGGCAGTGCAGAGGGGTCGTGGTAAGCAAATAGGAATGCTCGGAGACAGAAATGCACACATTGAGACCATTGCAGAGCGCACCATACCGTACCATGACCAACCGAATATCCGTTCCAGCCCTGCCTGGTTATGCCACATCATGCGCATTGTTTCAGCATTTAAACAATGCAAAACTGGGGGTGCCACATTCTGGAGTCAACCTTGTGCTTGGGTGCAAATTCTACACACAACTCATTTCCTTGGATGCCATTTACACCACGGCTCCAAACCATAATGATCAAAGGATTGAGTCAGTTCCATTCACGACCCACCATCATGCTTGCACACTAACTTGAAGCTCTAAAACTCAAGAAACAACTTACAAAATGCAAACAATCAAGCTCTAATCGAAGATAGGACTAAGATTCAAAAATCAGAATTCTAACACGTTGCAGGTGGTGTACGCCCTTAGAATGTTGGGCCAAGGAATGGCAACCTGTCAAATTCAGCGTCTAAAGCTGGGTGAGTGACCCAGCACTCTCAGGAAGTTATTCCAAGGCACAACAATAAGCCAAGTCCAGGATCTAAAGCTTGCTGAGAGACCCAACACTCTCAAGAAGCTGTTTCTAGGCATAGCAAAACATCAAAATAAAGGTTTGAAGTTGGGTAAGAAGCCCAACACCCTCCGGAAGTTGCGCCAAGGCATAGCAACCTTTCAAATTCAGTGCCTGAAGCTGGTTGAGAGACCCGACACTCGCAGGAAGTTGTGCTAGGGCATAGCAATCTGTCCAATTCAGGTTCTTTAGCTGGCTGAGAGACCCAACACTCTTTGTAAATTGCGCCAAGGCGTAGCAACGTTTTAAATTCAGTGCCTGAAGCTGGCTGTGGTGTAAAGCACAGGGGTAGTATGTTTCCTTGTTAATTGGGTTCTTGGGTGGTATAAGGTACAATGAACATTACAATATACAATCTCTTCTGATAGTAGGCTTCACTAGGAGCTTATAGGTTCTTGAACAACATGCACTGGGTTAGCAGGAGAGGAGATATCGTTAGATATATTTCTAATAGCTGAAAACCCCTCTGCCATACCGTATTGGGAGATGAGATACTATCGCTAGGCTCAAAGGCCGTATTGTCACGCGATTTGGGTGGTGGCAACGCCCCCAAAGGTGGCCACCTAGTGTCAGATTGTAACTCCGTTTTCTCTCGCCCGCTTGCACCCCACAACTGCACCCACAAGCCGCACAGCGCCACGCTCCCACGGCGCACCCAGCTGCAGCGCACCCAGCCGCAGCGCACCCAGCCGCCCCGCGCCCAGCCGCCCCGCGCCCAGCCGTCATGCAGGCTGGTCCAACACTACAAACCCGAAGACACGCGTGCCCCGGCAAAGCCCGCCAGTTATCCGGCGAAGGAGGCCCCGAAGGCCTCATCGGTTGCCTCAGCGGGTGCATTGCCTTCACCACAGCAGAAAACCAAGCCATTGGCTGAGAGACTCGACACTCTCAGGAAGTTGTGCCAAGACCTCACAACCATCCGCATTCAATGTGTAAAGCTGGCTACGAGACCAAACACTCTCAAGGATTCGTGCCAAGCCCTTGCAGTAATTCAAATTCAAGGTCTTCAGCTGGCTCAGAGACCCAACGCTGTCAGAAGTTGTGTCAAGCCTTCACAACATCTCAAAGTCAGTGCCCGAAGCTGGTTGAGATACCCAATACTCTCAAAAGTTGTGCCAAGGCAAACAACCATTCAAACTCAGGGTCTAAAGCTGGCTGAGCGACCCAACACTCTTAGCAATTTGTGTCAAGGCAAAACAACCATTCCAACTCAGGGTGTGGAGCTGGCTGAGAGACCCAACACTCTCAGGAAGTTGTGCCAAGGCAAAGCAACCATTCAAGCTCAGAGCCTGAAGCGGGCTAAGAGATCCAACACTCGCAGGAAGTTGGGCCAAGCCCATGCAGCCAGCCAAATCAAGCTTCGCCAATTTTGCCGAGTGCATTACTGCAGGTGGAAAGTGGCTCAAGCGTTCCACTGTCAATGTGCAGTGCTCTTAAATACGCCAATTCATGAATGCAAACTGGCAGGGACTGAATTTTGTGGCATTGCCGAAGTGACAGAACTACTAGCTGCCTTAGATCACCTAACTCTTCAGGCAGTTCTTCTACTTCAGTGCATCCATCGATTCCCAGCAGTTCCAGCAATTCCAGGTGCTTGATGCTTGCGTTGATTCCTTGAATGGCGGAACGGGATAAGTCAAGCATCCTCAGGTGCTAGGACAGAAGCAGGCAGGGAGGCAACTTTGTGAAAGCCGAGTCTCTGGAAGCACAACTCACAAGCGACGGCGCCTTGAAACCCTCAGGCCATCGAAGCATAGGACTGCCATTGTATGATATTTTGCCTCCACCGTACAGTACTTCTGGAGCTGCCAATTGGGAAATAGAAACTTCTGACACTGTTTCGCATCTGCATCTGCAGACGCCAGCCGCAAACCCACGTCCCGCACCATGTCATGCAAATGACAACACATGGCACAGAGAGGACTCGATCCATCTTGCAGAATGAGGGAGCGATCCAACAGCTGTAAACACACTGCATAACCTTCAAGCAGCACATCTTCAGGATCTGAACCATGACAGGTAGCACCCTGGAAACTAGCCCACTGCTAAGCCAAGCTAGACACTGTCGCATGGGCATCCTCAGGGTGGCCAACCAGACAAAATAAGAAGCTCTTCTGCACATCATCCAATTCACCAGAGCTTGATTTCAAAATGTAGAACATGACTTTTTCATATGCTTTGCCCAACGGCTGGGACTGCTGCAATTTCTTGCCACCAGATATCCATTGTTCCATTCCCATGTACCCTTTGCCATGGAACCCATCACCTGAAATGCCAATGGAAGTTGTGCCCATTGTGCAACCATGCTATTTACGACTTCTGAGTATTCCCTTTTGTCTGCTGGGATTTGGTGTTCGCAAAAAGCGCATCTGCAGAAGATCTGCATAGACAGATTCTTGGTCAGTACATCGACATCATATAATTCTGCATTCAACCTTCTTGCGACCTCCGCATCTCTTGTCGTCACTAACAACTAGCTGCTCCCATTGGTTGCTGTTATCCTCAGCTTTTCTAGGTCAGCCACCGACCATAGGTCATCCAGAACCAATAGGACACGCTCTGCCTCCAGCTTGCACAGAAGCTCCATCTTGAGATCATCTGCACGTAAGCACTGTGGTTCCCTGTTAGAAGACACCAACTGCCGCCATATCTGCTTCAGGCAAAGTCAGAAATTTGCCTCTTTTCCAACTGTAGCCCTGCTCAACTTGAATTCGCTTGAGCTAGACAGCTTGTTATGCACTGCTTTGGCCAAGTTTGTCTTGCCTGCAGGGGCAAAGATTCACATTCATGCACTGTATCCGCTATGTCATTATGACAACAGATATTATCTTCCTTTGGTGAATAGGCTGGAGGACAGAGTGGATAGTGGTTAGGTGTGCCAACTGCCTATGCTCACCCACCATTGCACTGATGTTCAGAATATAAAGATACTATGTACTTTGCCTGTGCAAAGGCACCATACCCAGCCTCACAGGCAATATGATGTTCAGCAAGGTAGGGTTAATGATTTGGGCTAGCTGAAATTGGGCCCATTGTTCTTCATTGTTTTAGCAATGGTCTTTTAGTGCGCACCATGTCGGCTGCCGTTAGGCTCACAACAGCTACAAAAATGCAAAGGCTGGGCGACCGACACATGGAATGCATTGTAGTTGCACAGTTCCAAAACCACGAATACAGAAAATGACGCAGATGGCAGAGGCAAGCAGCAGTGTCAGCTAAACATCTGGGGCTGGCAGCTTCCCTCCCTCCTTGTCAATCGCCACTGGTGTGAGCAGGCAGGGCTGTGTGCTGTGCAGTATAGTGGGGGCATGACCACCCAGTACAATACTTAGTTTCCCCTCACAATGTCTTTCAGCATTTTCTTATTATTCTTTATTTCATACCTGTCTGGGAGATACAACACATTATCTTGCAATGCTCAGGCAGAGTGAGAGTCGATTGACCACAGTTTAGGATAGAAACAGTCAGGTTCTAGCTTCCATGAGCAAAAATCAAACAAATGGACAGACGACAAGCAAGTGAGGTACAGTGGTGTCATTTAGGGAGGATGGGGGATGCTGCGAAATAGCTGTGCAGTCGTTATTGCAGCATTCCCACTTGTACTCAAAGCTAGCAGCGCCCCTCTGGCACTGACACCCGATGCAAACAACGCACATTCGTTTGGCTGCTCTCCAGTGGTCAGCTCAAGAAGCAACACCATGCCTTTCTTTCAATTCTGTCCTCCCCAATCCATCCCCAATCCCAAGAAGGAACCACAAAGCTGGACAACAGCTCTTTCCAAATAAGGAGCCATGTTCAAATTATTGAACATCTCCATTTTCACAACGATTCTGGGCATCCGCTACACACCTATTCCTCCCATGCCGACCACCGCCACCACTGGTGCCTTGATGCGCTGCACGAGGCTTTCTATCGCGTTTACCCTGTGATCCATCTCCCCATAATGTCCTGGCATATGTTGTTGAAGCATCAATCTTGCACATTCATCCATCTGTTTCATCTCGTCTGGTCCTGCATGTGTTGCACTGCGATTTGCATACTGAGCATTGTGGTGCGAGTGTCAGCACTCAAAGCTGCATTCAGATCTGAACACAGCAAAAACTCCTTCACTCTAGGGCTCAATTCCTTTAGGAGTGGGCGGCAGCAGCTGCTCAAACCAGGGCAACTTTCGGCACAATAAGCCGCTCCTTTCTATCTTGTATGTTGCCAATTTCTTGTGGCAGGGAGGAACATTAGCATGCCTAACCAGAACCAGAAACGCAACGGTTGCACGACGCCATCATGGGTGGCTACGTTCCTCAGTTAGACTGCAGCGCCCTGTGCCATGGGCAAAAAGGTCCTGACAAGACTTGGGGGTCAGGGAAATGCCTAGGGGAGCACCGTGATCTGATTTATCAACCGACGTTCTGGCGCACACCCTGAGGCGCCCACGTATGGCGAGATCGCCGAAACTAGCCCGCAGAGGGCCGCTGCACAACGCCCGTTTGGCCCGTGTTTCCATGGCGGATGTGGCGTGAAATATTCAACCCTTCTGTATAGTAACGTAGCGGTTGGCCTTTCTGTGCGAAGAAGTATTGATAGAATTTTTGTGGAGTCACATAGAAAAGTAAATAACGCTCTGAAAAGAAAATGCCGAGGAAGACCATAACGGTAATTCTTGATGCGGAAGGGTTGAATGTACTACATTATGCTCGTAATCAGGAACACCGCCGTGGTGACTGCGCATTTGCTGTCGTTGGGGAGTGCGATGAAGTGATTCCATTGCCCTTTCTGCTCCTGGACACATTTGCTGTCGTTGGGGAGTGCGATGAAGTGATTCCATTGCCCTTTCTGCTCCTGGACACAGGGAATTGGCAGCCAATCAGAGAGCAGAGCTCTTATCAGCGATCGGCAGAATCTGCTGCGCTGAGTGATGCGAAACTCACGTGGCATGCACCAGGTGTAGCCAGCTGCCACACACACAGTCTACCAGACAGCATTGCAGGCGGTAAACTGAGGCCGCCAGATAAGAATCGCCACCATTTCGTTTTCAACACAGAGTTTGGCGAAGCGAAGATCTGCTTTGTGCACTGATTCCGTCATCTCACCAGTAGCAGTAATGCCTGGCCCAATCTGCCGAAAAGCCCTCCTCAGAAGGTCCTGGGCCTGGAGCCGCCTCCGACTCCCCTTGCACCTGCGATCCTGATCGGGTACGAATCTCCTGCAATGCTGCCAGAAGACACTTCAACAGCCTCTTGTGCCTGTCATCTACTTGAAAGCGACGGGCAGTGGTCTCCCAATCTGAGAAATGATATCAATGCACTACACGCCTGCCCTAGTTTTCTGCCCATATTCATGACCCTCGATTGCAAGTTTGGCGCTCATGGAAAATGTGCGCAAATCCACCAATGTCGATTCGCCAATGTTCGTGGTTGTCTGTACAAGATCCATCCAAGCACGTGAGGAGCAATCATACATCTTCATAGCTGGACTGCATCCAACACCAGCGACTCGATTGTGAGCTATAAATGGTCTTGCACTCATTCATGCAGCACTGCACTGATGCTAGTCTGTGCAGGGCGCTGTCCATACTGACAAAGCACGGGCACAGATAAGCAAGCAACAATTGCACACATATGCTATGGCAAGGTTTGAGCCTCTCAAATCCCAAAGGCATGGTGGTGCAAAGCATGGGCTGGCAGTGCAGACACGATCAACGCCACCAAAACCGAGCTTAAATGAGCAACAACCACTCGCACTGTTGCACACTCATGGTCAGGGCATCTCCCAAAACACCCATCCGTACACAACCTGATTATTCCAGTTCTGCGCCGCCAGAGAGAGGTAACATCATGTACAAGGCAAGCTTAACCACATTTCAACTCCAAACGGGAGCCAAGCCCCACTACAAGGAACGTCCACGTTCCCCTAAACAACAGCACATGCACAGAAGCCACTAATTTACTTGCACCCACGACTGCATGAACGAAAACTGCTGGTCCCTGCCAGTCTGCCTCCTCTCATCCTGCCCTCCACCATGTCAAGGGCGCAGCTTCCATTACACCAACCCCCTCAGCCCCAACCCTAACCTGAAAAACAAGCATCAGTCGTCGCCTGCTTGGCATCTCGTCTACTGTGCTGTTAGATTCGTTGGCCTGCAATGTGCACCTATCATCGTCATAAAAATACATCAATTACATTTGCCATACAGTGACAAACCACAGCCCTTGCACCTTGAGAGGCGATGATGGGCATGAAACCCAAGCAGAGACCAATGAGTGCACAATGGGGCGATGATCTGATGTGCACCCCCGTACCATGAACCAGACTTGTGGTGACTGTCGTAAGCTCAGCCGTTGCCATGCACGTTCTCGTGTACCCCTTCATCTTCCCATGCAGGCCTCTGGAAACCCCACAGGAGATCACAAACTCACAAACTGACCCTGCTTGGAATGGGATGCCCATGGCATGTGCTGCATCACCTCCCCCTCTGCAACGTGACTCGTGAACAGCATCCACGTTCAGCCAAACTAGCGTGCACGTGAATCAACCTGTCCACGCCAAAATACCTGAACTTTCACAAAGCAGTCGCATCCCCAGGCGAATGGCAAATTCTGGGACACATATTAGGTCATTAATGACATACATATGAATACAATGTTGTATAGCAGCGGGACAGGGCCTGTACTTGTACTTGAAAACGCAGCCAAACCCTATTTCTTCCCCACCAGCAGGCCCGTTCGCAGTGCACAATCATCTGCACACGCACCAACTACTGAGCTATGCTCAAACCAACCAACTGCAGCCCTAAAATATTTCTAGGCTTTCGGAACACAGCCACTTGGGCACTGGCCCTGGCACATGACTGCTACATGTGACTATCCTGCCCGCCGCCGCGACCAAGAACCACGGCCAGAAACTGACCTAAGCTAATTCTCAGTTCCCAAATTTAGGAGTCAGAGTCTAAATTCGAGTTCAATTCTCAAGTTTTAGTTCGATTTCAGTTTGAACTGTGCCCGAGGGCGTCACTTGGCGACCAGGACCCGGCACAGCCTGGGGTGGACCTCCACGTAGGTGGGCTCGCAGCTCATGACCTCCCCGTCGGCCATGACGATAGACGTCCGGGCCTTGGGACCCAGCCACAGGCTGGACACGCGCAACGACCGCAGCACCTGCAGGTCCATGTGGGCGCCCCTCTCGGCCTTCAGCATGAAGTCCAGCATCTGGCCGCGGCTGGCCTTGTTGATGTATAGCACCTAAGCGATGGAAACTTGGACATATCACTCGTCCATTTTGAATTCATTTGCATTCAATTTGCACTCAGTTTCATTGCACTCAATTTCTATTTTGCATTCCGAAAAATCGACATGTCACTTGCATTTTGAATTCATTTCTTTCAAGAGGAATTGGCAACCATGATTCTGATTCAAGCAAACTGTAGTTGTACAGCTGGTGCTTGCAGGGTCCACTGCTTTTGTTGTCAGGCTGTGAGAAGGGACCCCAGCCTGTTGTGGCTGGAAGAAATTTCAGCCTGAAATCCGGATTAGTTGTAAAGTACTTCAATAACACAAGTAAATATACTACGTTAGTAAGCAAACGGCATTCAAAGAAATTGAATATAACCTCCACCAACGGAATTTGTATCAAAGCATCAGGGCACATCAGGGTACCATTAGATTAGATTTGCCTATTCCGATGGACTCCAAGTACCGAGATATCGTTGCACAGTTCATTGCCACAAATAGCACCTCCATGCATCCGTTGCCCAGCTCTGCCCGCGGCGCTAGGTGGTAGTTTGTGGCGGCCCATGGGATGTTCATGGCACTGAGCGTCATCACGTCATCGATGTCCGCAGCCCTCCAGTCGCCGTGGCCCTCTGACGCCACGCTCCCCCTCCCGCCCATGACGGCCTTTAGGAACCAGTCAGATAGTTCGGGCGTGAGGCCACAGAGCGGAACGCCTGGAAAATCGGTGGCATCTTTTTGTTCCGGTCTGGTCCCGTCGACGGTGGCACGGCCTTCCTGCTTGCCCTCCGTTGAGGCGCCATCCCCGCCTGTCAGCGAGCACAACTATGGCAATTGATTGATTTTTACTTGATTGTCATGCTGTCCAAAAATCGAGAAATTCAAATAAAGTCAGCCAACGGATTGGCCAACTGGCCAGTAAACCAATCTGTTGGCGAAGGAACCGGCCGTTTGGTCAATTGACAGATCAATCGCATGCAACGGACAAACAGTCGAATTTGAAGCAAACGAGCATGCAAATGAAGGATTTGCTGTTGTACACCACGAATGGAACAATCATGCAGCAAATACGTTAAAGCTGAACGGGTTAATGCACGGCCAAATTAGAGTGACTATGCTCTTAGTGACATTAGTAAACAGCATATCACGATGCACAAATGTGCAAGCGTACAATTGTACATCCATTTGTAAATTAATGCACTCAACCCAACGATCACGCGCTGCGATCTCTTAGGATGGGTGCGCACTTGGACTCTCAAATGTGGTGTAAGGTTTTTGAAGAAAAACAGCATTTAAGAATGCATCGACATTGGCAGCCCAACAATAACGCAAACTTTCCCAGACATTGTTGAGACAAAAGATCGAATTCTTGCATAATACAGTGGCGATTGTGGACTCACCTTCATGAGGATCACTGGAGGTGGCATCGGGCAGCAAGCGATGATGGCTGCCTTGGTCGCTGTCCAGGATCTGTGCCGAGGACGGCCGCTTGTCTGAGGCGCTCTCGTGCTTGTCTGCGGCACTCTCACGCTTGTCTGTGGCACTCTCAAGCTTGTCATCTGCGGCCTCAGGTGGCAGGCCGGCAGATGGGAGATACGCCATCTTCAGGCCATAGCGATTCTTCTTGATGATTTCACAAAGGCCCCCCACTGTGAACCGGGTCTCTCCCATCCATCTACGCAATGCCGGAAAACAGCAAGGTGTATTGAGGACACAATGGAATCTGCCTCTATGTGAAGATTTTTCCCATAACATACTTGGGATATAACAGCAATACTTATAGTAAACTGCCAAGAAGTACCAATGAGACAATGGTAGCAAAGTCAATCTACTAAACTGTTACATGGTGTACTCACATCGCATGAACGCATCTGTAACCGATTCCAAAACAGCACACCACATTATTCTAAAGGAACAAAAAAAGTTGTTGGTCGCCGAGGCTCACCTGAGGTGCTCCGTCCCCTTGTCGACAGCGGACACAGCTCCGTACGAAAGGCCCATGAATGAGAATGCGCGCTGCGTGCCTTGGACCACCGACATGACGTCCAGGGAGGCTTGGGAACCCTTGCAGATTGTGTGCACTCCCGTCGGCACATCCCACACACCTGGAAGCCAAAAAACAGCAGCAACTGCACAAAGATGTGACAATATGCAAGGATGCAAAACATTGGGGAACAGCGATGGCACTTCTTTTGGGAAGAATACGCACAAGAACTGGTACTTTATGGTCCTGCTGTGTCATTTACCCCTGAAAGGGTGTTCTGGCAAAAATACTTGTCGACATGCTCTTTCAGCCTGTGGCTGGGGAAGATGTGTCCGCACCTGTGCTGGCCGCGAGCGCGTTGCCACTTCCTGTGGGCAGCTGGAGCATTGGAATTTTGGAGACCTTTGCCCAGTCGGGTCGCGACAACATGCCCTGAACCACAGCAAACATTTTTGGGGCAGCAGTGGCGCAAGGTGCAGAACATTAAGACCTTTGTTGTGGCGCTTGTAACTCTGGAGGGGACACTAGCAAAAAAGAGACCAAATAGCACTTTTCGCGAACACAAATGCACGCACTACATCAGTATTCTGCATGCTAAAAGCGCGAAAATAACCCAAACCCGCAAACTTTGTACACGTTTGAACACGTGCGGTTTGGCCCTTTGTTCCTAGTGGGTGTTGGCAATAGAGCGAACAGCCAGTGCATTGGTCTTCCAAGGGTTGGGAGCAAGTGGCTGGAAGTTCGAGTCGATGAAATGGATGCAATGGAATTAGGCAGCTCTTTGTAACAAGAGTGCTGAGAACACCATGCATTAAGTTCAATGTTGCCGCAAAAGTGGCTCTTTGGCGATACTTCAGAGTGCACACAGTTGCGGTGGTGCAAGAGAGTGACCTGCCCTGAATTATCCATACCGAGCACAGAAACTGTACTTTGACATGCACAGGGACAGGGGCAGACCAGATATTTGGGGTACTCCAGCGCACAGGTGACACGCAGGGATGCGTTTTGGCCAGAGCAAGGGCTACTTTGGAGGCCGCTCAGACGGGTCACTGCCGACCTTGTATCAAATACTGTACCTAGCTTTATCAAGTGGTAGTCGGAGGTTTGGAGATGTCATGTTTCTGATGTGGTTTCTTTGCCATCTTTGAGTTATACTCTCTCATTCCAACAGAAGAAGTTTTTGGACAGTGGAAGCAGTACGTAACAAATACAAGGGTGAAAGTGTGAGCATCTGTCCAAAAGCAAATACTGCATGGAACAAAAGTGCTGTGTGGATAGGTAACCGGGACATGACAGCGCACCAGTTCC